CATAACTCAGAACTACAACCAGAACTATAACCAGAACTACAACCAGAACTACAGACCAGACTAAAACCAAAACTACAACCAGAACTACAACCAAACTACAACCAGAACTATAACCAGAAACCTACAACCAGAGCTTATAACCAGAACTATAACCAGAACTACAACCAGAGCTATAACCAGAAACTATAACCAGAACTATTCAGAATACATACCTTTTTTTTTTTTTTTTTGTTTTTTTTTTTTGTTTTTTTTTTTTTTTTTTTTTTTTTTTGTTTGTTTTTTAGATATTACATTATCCTAGATTTTTACTATATACCAGGTATATTATTTATTCCAGATGCTTTTATATATCAGAATTATTAATTCCTATGATACTTTTTATTTTTTACTTCAGAATCTTTATTGCAACCATTGGACTTTATAATCCATGTATTATCTTAGGTAGACCATATGCGTTTATAATCTCTTCTAGATTATCTTACAAGCCTCATTGAGCTACATTGACCTATGAACTATCAATTCAATTATATCTCAATTTCTCAGTTAATCTACAATCCTAGATTATCTAGTTTGAATCTCAGTATAACTATTTAATATCCATTAACTTATTATATCCAGTATTACTTTTTATTTTAACCATTATATTTTTATCATATTACCATTGTAGGGTGTTATTTTATTATGAGTCTCAGATTATTCTTTATTTAACCAGTAATCTTTATTAACTCATGTTAAATTACATGACCATGAGGCTATTTTTAATTTCATATATCTTTTTTATCATACTCATTGATTACTCTAACATTACCATGGGCTATTCATATCCAGTGTAATCTTTATCATTATCTTTTTATAATTTTACCAGGAATCTATCAATTCTCAGATTACCTGTACATATTTCCATAACTATTATATCTCGAGTAACGTGTAGCATATCCATGATACTTACAACCAGGAAGCTAAACCAGAACAACAACTATAAACCAGAACTACAACCAAATACAACCCAGAAACTACAACCCAGAACTATAACCAGAACTATAACCAGAACTAATAACAGAACTAAAACCAGAACTTAATAAACCAGAGCTATAACATATAATAGATAGATTAGACTAGACTTAGATAGATAGATAGATAGATACGATAGATAGATAGATGATAGATAGGATAGATTTAGATTTTTTTTTTTTTTTAGTTTTAGTTTAGTTTTTATTAGTTTCAGTATTAGTTTTAGGTGTTATTTATTTATTTAATTATAATAAGGGGGGATTTGTCAGTGGAAAGTTTTAAGAAGTTCATAATAGGTATTAAAACACAAACACAATAAACATTTGTCTTCTCACGCTTGGTGTGTTGAAAATTTGATCACATTAGACTAAAACTGAAGAATTTTTGCTGTATATTTTTATTTAATTTGAGTTAGTTTAGTTTTTTTTCCCTCCTAAAGTCAAGCTTTTATTTTTATTTCAGTTAATGATATGACCTCGGTCCTTTGCAAGGTTGGGATTCATATTCGCATTGTTTGCAAGGGGATCTAACATGCTGTGAATTGTATAACTGTCATAAAAGCTGTAACTTGTAGATGCATTCCTTATATATCCACACACATAATAACTTTGTTGTTAAACCATTTGCCCTTTAAGTGTTCAGGGCCAGCATGTGAATCAGCAATGCCTCACTCCTTTGAGGTTAACTAAGTCATGTGAAATAACACACACTGGGGTCAAGGGAGTTTAAATCAGTCAAGTTAGTAAATGAGTAGACTGACTTTATCTCTGTTGACCGCTGCGGGTGTGTGCTTGCAAACAGTAACATATAAGAACTAAAAATGTCACTTTTTCCTCAGACATCTTTCGCAGTCTTGGTGTTTGTCTTGAGGCATTTCTCATGAGAATCATAAGCTGAAATTTGCTGTCAACACAGCTTGACACACCTGCAGAATTATGTCCTGGGTGTATACGTGTGTGTATGTAAATAATATACTGGCTTATTTCATTTTATTTATTTTCTATGTAATTTTATGAATTTATTTATCTTTTTAAAGTAACTGCACACTTTCATTTAAATACATTTATACAACATACATATATGATATAAGATGTTAAAATACATAGAATACTGTACATGTTTCTCTTTCAAATTCTGTATGTTTCTCATATTTATGTGTATCTCATCTGAAAAACAAGCAATCTTGCAGGACAAGAAAATCTTATTTAAAATAAAAATGACTGAACCCCCTTAAGCATTTTTACTTTAACTTAATATATCACAATTAACTATTCCATCAAGACCAAATGCTAAGACTGTTTGCTCTTTATCAAATACATTAACACTGATTTTTCACATCACTCCTGAAAACAAAAGTCTCAAGATAAGTCTAGGTGTCTTTGCTGAACAACCGCCTGGTGTCAGAGACATGAAGGCATGAATTTAAAAAGCACTGACATCCTCTGCTCCTCTGCTTTAGCCCTTGTTGTTGCCTCATAAGAGGAAAAACCACTGGGTGTAGATTTAATCACAAAGCCCAGATGGCTGCTTCCAGGCTACAGTCTGCTGCCTAGTTAGGACACATCTGGTCCTGTGGAGAAAAAACTCCCAGAGATGCTTCATTATATAATACAGTATGTACTGTACAGACATCATCACATCCATGCTTGTATGAAAGAAAATACTGAGATCTTTAACCTAAAACCTGACTGGATCGCAAATTATTACAGTAAAATTATCAGTATCTGAATGAATGAAATACAAATCTGAGAATATAATTGCTTCAAAAGAAAAAAAAAATGTCGATCTATGTGTCTAACATGATCAAATTAAACAATAAAATCAAGAGGAACAGCATATTTCCAATAAACTTCAATGCTGTAAACTTCTCTCCTGGTTTCGTCCATTATTATGTTTGGTGTTTGAGCCAGAAGTAACAATATATAAACAATATATTCTGTATATTTCTGCTGTATTAAAGGTCCAGTGTGTAACATTTAGAAGTCTCTACTTTCAGAAATGGAATATAATATTCATAGGTATGTTTTCATCACTGTATAATCACCTGAATGTAGGAATCTTTGTGTTTTTTTATCTACAGATGCTGCAGGTTGCCTTCCGTAAAGTCCATGTTGAACCTACTGTAGCCCAGAATGGACAAACAAGTTTTGCGGCCACCGTAGATTCTAACTTTACAGCCTGTTCTCTTTCCCAGGTCCTCAAATATACACTCAAGCAGTGTCCAGTTAGTTGTGATCTCCAACTTCACCACTAGAAGCTACTAAATCTTACACACTGGTCCTTTCAATCTTTGGACCATCGCCCTCTAACATTAGTGTTTATCTGCAACATCACATTTGGTAGTTGCATTTGTGTAAACCATTAAAATATTTTAACAAAGTTCTGTGAGAAAGGAAAAAAGCCTAGCTCTAAATACTTTGAATTTTGTATCAGCTGTGGCCAAGTTCTGATCCAGTCTACAAAACACATTGTTCTCCTAATTTGTCCTGTATTTGTGTGACCCAAATGAAAAGACCTGATGGAAAGATGTAGGCCAGTTAGACTCTGGCCTACATCTTCTCGATCACCATCACCGTCTGACACAGAAAACCTCAAACATAAATCATTAGAAATGTTACAAATAATAAATAGGGATGATAGAAACCCACAATGTACGTTTTTTAAATCCTCTTAAGTGGTTTATTTAAATGAACGAACCTTGATAGAATATACACATAACATAGATTAAGCTGTCTGTGTAATGACACTAACAATGGTTCTATTCTATTCGAGTGTCCCAGTAAACCATGAAAGTGTGACAGTGAGCACAGCGTGAACAATACCAGGACCCTGAAACTAAAGCAGCTGAATGGAATTCATCCAACATTAATTTCATTATTCACACCAGTGCTTTTCCTACTGAGAAATGTCTGTGAATAAAAGATCTAATGAAACCAGATTGTATTGCTGTTTATAAGGCTGCCACAAAAGTTTATTTTACACTATTGATTAATTCTAGCTATCTTTTTTATAATAATTTTGTCTTTAACATGTCAGTAACATTTAAAAATGTTCCCAGAGCCTTCAGGGTGATGTTTTGCAATAATTTGTCCTACCAACGGTCCCAAATATATTCTATTTAGAATCATATAAAACAGAGAAGAGCTGCAGATCATCACATTTGAGGATGCAGCCAGAGAAAGTGTTGCAATTTTTCTTGATAAATGACCTAAATGATTAATTATCAGATACCAAAAACCCGCAGTTACCGGTTCCCCATGGCTGATAGCAGTAAGATAACTGACGAATTCATGTTGTTGTACTTTAAAAAGAAGTTGATTACCTGTAGTTTATGCACACCTGAGGCTGATTTAATCCGTTCTAACCACATCTAACATCTGTAATGTAAACAACAAAAACAACTCTAATTTAACTTTATCTGAATGACCCTTAAAAGGACCAGCGGGCAGGATTTAAAGGCATCAAGAGGTGAAGATGCAGAACTAACTAAACACTGCTCGCGTCTGTATTGGACAACCTGCGAACCAGAACAGGCTGTGACACAAAACTCCCAAAAATACACCTTATTTAGAGTCAGTTTGGTTTTGTCTGTTCTGGGCTACTGTAGAAACAAGGCATCTATAAATCATAACAGCTCATTCTAAGTTAACGAAAACACAATGATTCTTATTTTCAGGCGACTATACACTAATAAAAACATACCTATGAATATTACATTCCATGTCTACCGATAGATCCTCCTCAATGTTTCACACTGGAGCCTTTAATACTATAAATGACCATTATTGACTGATAATAATGAACCTGAAGACATTTGCTTACTTACAGACCTCCACAGTGAAGATTACACCAAGAACAAAAGCTTTAAA